TTCAATTGCTGAAAATTCTGTGTTTCAATTCTGTCCTATATTTGCGGATGGATCCAGGGTAAAGGTTAATTTACTGAATCTGATTATCGGGGTTTGTTGCTAAAGGTATTAACTATAGTTCAGAAGAAAATATAGAAACTTCATTACTGGTTGATCTTGTATAGATTATAGACAGTGGATATAAAAATCATCAAAGTCGAGTGAGTAACATCATGCGACATAAATGAGGTCTGTCCATTACACCCATTTTCTGTTTCTATGAAAATTGATCATTTCGTAATGCAAGCAAGATACTTTTATTCCATTTTACTGTAACTATTTCTGACAACTCTCTGTATTTTAATGACATTAGTTAAAGACTAATTTCCGAAATCTTGTGTGTGAGAAGTTCAAAAGCAGAATAATTGCTAGAATTTTAGCTTAAATTGAGTTGTTCGTTCAAATTATAAGCTCACAATGAACAAATTACATTTTGATAGAACCACAAAATGTTGCTCAAACATAAGATATCCCAATCTCCTTGTGTTTACCATGGGATGCAGGAATGTTCTGAGGGCCACAATTGATGTTCCCCAGGTAGGAGAAGTCAATTTCAACTGCACCCACCTTGATCATCTAGATGAGAACTGGAGAATGAAGCAAATAAATGCAATAATGCAATCCAGTAATGGGCCTCACATTTTGGCTGGCGGTCTCAATTCCCTGACGAAACAGATTATTCATTAGAAAGATGGACAGACATTGTAAAGGTAAATGTAAAGTTCATTGCGGAATCAGTCATAGAATAGCACATACTTATCATCTGGGGGTTGTTCATATTTATGTCTCAGTATTATGAAGAGATGGGAAAGCCCACACCAAAGGCTGAGGTGATGAAATATTTAAAGAGTCAAAAATACACAGATGGTAAGGATTATGCAGGGGAATGTGAGTCTGTAGTCATGATCGCCAAAGGACAAAGTATGAAACCTGTGCTTTCTGCCTAAAATTAGCATAATAATAAACTAAATTTTGTTTTTGTTCTCTTGAAAATGACTTGGAACTGGTCTGTAACGCAGGTGTGCAGGGGACATGCAAGTATGGGACTCGGGTAGATTACATATTGGCATCATCAGATTCACAGTACAAGTTCATCCCCGGCTCATACTCAGTTTACTCTTCAAAAGGGACTTCTGATCATCACATAGTGAAAGTTGATGTAGTGAGAGTAGATAGCAGTCCTCAACAATATGTCCATAGAAAGCAAAAGAAACCCAAACAGAAAGTTGTAAAGATAACACACTCTTCTTCATCAAGGGGTATATGGAAACCACAAACTTGAGAAGATGGATAGGTAGATTAGCATTTTTTTCAAAATTAATATTTTGGTATTTGCTCGTTATGTAAGAGAGTAGACAGAAATATTTGTGTCTGGTTCTTTTTCCTCTGCTATGTAAATCACTGTTGTGTCTTTACACCTCTTTGGTCGATCACTGATCCCTTTAGCTGCCCCATTACCACTTCTACTTGGAAATCCTTGATTCTAAAGATAAATTATATTGTTTTTCCTCTATTCTATTGGAAAAAGTTGATTTGTCTCTATAAATCACTGTTATGTCTACACAATGTTTGTCGCAAAAAATGATAGTGACAGTTGCAACTTTTAAAATCAATGTCAAAGGCAAAACCATATCATGGGATTGGGCCCTTTAATTATGATCAGCCAAGAGTTAATATATATGTGGTTAACCTCACAGGCCGTAATGAATTCCTTTGTTATACAAACAGCTCCACATTAGCGTTTTCAATGAGTCGGGGCAGGTCGGGCTGGGCTGGGCTAGTATCCTGATCCAGCATTACCTCATCCTATTTACCCCCATCAAAGGAAAATTGGAAGAAGATACACTAAATTAGACTTAATTGTAAAAAAGTATATAGAAAAAATTTTAGGTAATTAAGTCCTTAATTTTGATACTTATTTGTGTCTAAGTACATTATTTGAATTTTACTGATTTTTGTGACATTTTTTCCCTTCATTAATCCATGTGTATTTAATGTACCATTTTTCTTTGAAAAGTGGTGCATTAAACATTTCTTAGTTTTATGGGATAATTTTAATACATATATGTATTTATGTATATATAAACATGTGTATATATATAAATACGTATCTATATACTTGTTTGAATTTCAAAATTTGTATTCATGTATATATAAAAACGTATATGTATATAATTTATATTTTAATGCACATTGATTCATGCGTTATATATATATGATTCATACATTATATATATATATACACACACACATATATAAATACTTATGTATGTATGTATGTATATACTTGTTGTTAAATCTCTTATCTAAATTTTGAATTATCTTTTAATATACCTTGATTCATGATTTTTTTTTTTTTGAAAAGTGGTTTTATTTTCAAATTAATTTAATATCTGAATAGTGTAATAGTGTAACAATAAACAGTGTAACAAGCTATTTACGTAAAATATTGTACTATTACATTTTGTCAAATATATAGTTTCGTATAATTTCATTCAAAATAGTACATTTTTCGTTTTGAATTTGTTATCACATACACAAAACTGCTGAACACTGTTTTTGTTACACTATCTTTGTTACACTATTACATTATTCGGATATTAAATTATTGAAAATAAAATAATTTTTCAAAAAAAAAAAACCCTTGAATTAAGGTGCATTAAATATAATTTAAAAACAAAATCACTTTTCAAAAAAAAAAAATGCATAAATCAAGGTGCATTAAAGATAATTCAAAATTTAGATAAGAGATTTAGCAACAAGTATATATATAAATTCGTATATACGTGTGTGTGTGTATATATATATATATATATATGGTCAATGGGTGACAACCGCTCTCTCTGCGTAGAGCCACCTCCCTCTCCTTCCATGGTGTTTTTCCCTGAGTTCCATACTCACCGCCTCTGGACATCAAACTCTACTACCTCCACTTATTGTTTCTCAACAATCTGCTTATTCCCACCTCCCTCCCCTCCATAAGGGCCTCCACAAAACCCACAGACACTGCCTCTCTTTCCCACTGTCCCATCTATCCATTGTTCCTCTTCTAACTGCTATCCATGGAACAATACACCAGTGGTTGAAACATTATTACTCACCATACTTCTCCACAGTCACCACAACACATTCTTCTTCTACATTTTCTCCATGTTCCTCATAGGTTGACCATGTTTCTACTCACCCAACCAACACTCATCACCTCATCCCACTCTATTCAGCTGGACTAATCACAGATACTCCTCACAAATAGAAAATCAGCCTTCCCACTTGCAATCGCTTCTCATCCCATTAGAATCTGATGTGAATACCAAAGACTTTGTACAGAATGCTTGCCTCATAGGAAAAATCTTCTCGTCCAAAAACATCAATTGGAATGTGGTGAAGGAAACACTCTCCAAAGCCTAGAATATAGGGGAACAAATGAGCATCCAGGATGGCAAAGTAGACACTTACATCTTCATCTTCAAGAACAAGGATCTCAAACAAAAGGTAATCCGTATGAGCCCTTGGACAGTTAAAGGCCAGCTGATGGTAATTCTACCGTGGACTGGGAATTGATCCATTTCGGATTTGGAATTCAATTCTACAGCCTTTTGGATACAAGCACATGGATTATCCCCTGATCTAATCACGCTTGGAAATGCCTTCAAGATAGCCTAAGCACTAGGCACTCCAGCTCTCTCTCCTCAATAGATGCACCAAGGAACAGTGTGGAAAGGGTATATTTGTACCCATGTTACCATCGATCTCACACAACCTCTTAGAACCCACTTTTGGATGCCCAACCATGGAAGGAAAAAACTCATACTTCTAAAGTATGAACGATTAGGGGATTTTTGCTATTTATGTGGGAGGATAGGACATGAAAGAAGCATTTGCAACCACAAACCAGCAATCAATCAATCTAAGGAATATGGTCCCCAGCTTCGAGCAAATCCAGGAGCGTCATCAACCTCACAACTTTCATTGGAAAACCCACAATCATGGCCAGAATTGGAGGCTCGTGAACCAGTAATTTTATTTGCAGTAGTGGCGCATGAACCAACCTTCTCGTCACTAGCATCGAAAAATGAACAACAAACATATTCTGGCACGTGTACAACGAATGGAACACCTGTGGCAAAGTCGGCGCACTCACGTCCAGAATCACAACCTACAGAGGAATCGCCACGTGGTACGTACCCATTGGATCCCTTGATAACAAACTCTTCAACAAAATCTTCTTCTCTTACCTACCACACCACCTCAAGAGACACAATGCCTTCCCCAACCCTAACCCCCTCACCACAGTCCACTTACATCACACAACTAACTAACCCTAACCTATCCAAAACTGGCCCACATTACATCCAAGAAAGAATCAACCCATCCACCACACTAATTAATAATGACCATAGCTCAATAGGTAGCCCACCCCAAAACCCAGAACCAGTCAAACCCAATGACACAAAAACCCAAACAATGCCCAGTAACCTAATGGCCATAACACTCATACCCAAAAATAAAAACCAAAGCTCAGTTGATCTCTCCAAAACCCCTCCTTGCCTGGAACTTGTCCCTCTGCACAAAACAACGCAGGAAAGCAGCACCTCATCACTTGCTTTAAACAATAACTCTCAAGTCCCAGCTCTCATTTCTCTACACAGTCCAATGAAGGAAAAATCAAGTTCATCCCTTACCATAAGCCAAGAAACACCACTACAACCTCACCTAGGTACCTTTTTTGATGAATGCATGGCCATAATCTTCACACGCCTCTCACTTAAAAGGAATGCTCTCGAATATGGAATCCATATCTGACCACCAAAATTCTATAGGAAAGATGATTGTATAATTGTTAGATTATCAATACCAACAAAGGGTCCAAATCCAGTTGAAGTTAAACCTCATTCCATTGATGCTTGGATAACTCTGCCCACAGATATTCATCGGCTCTCTGAAACAAATAAACCCAATGACCAAGTCAAAATTGATAAACATCAAAACTCACCCATTCACCCCACCCACCAACTTCAAAGGAAACCTTACAAGAAGTTCAAATGCGAGAGAACCATCAAGGAAACAACGCACTTCAGCACAACTATCCATGGAGAGACCTAAGTTCTTGTTACAGAGGAAACCATTTCAATGGCTAAGGAAGCGGGTCTGACCATGCTCCCACCCTCACCATGATAGGATACATATGGCATTGTCGAGGGATGGGCCATGCCTCGACAATTCGCCATTTGAAGGCTCAAATAAAGGAGTATCACCCAAACTTCATCTTCCTTTCAAAAACTAAAATTCCTTCAGAAAAAACCAAAAAAACTTTGTTTACCCTTGGATTCCACAACTTTGAGATACAAAGTGCTAAAAGACTGTCTGGTGGAATATGTTTGTGTTGGAGGAAAGGCGTTGCGATTGAAGTATTGCTTGCAAACCAGAGCATCATATCATATGTGATTACTTTGGACCCTCCAGACTCAAGTTGGTTGCTTACTTGCATTTATGCTCTAGCAAACAAAAGAATTCAGCCTGCTCTCTGGGACTCAATGAATCAAATACTCATGAATAGCCCATGACCAAGTATGTTTATAGGAGACTTCAACAATGTGATATCTCAAGAGGAGAAAAAAAAGGGTAAATCATTTGCATCCCCATCAAATGGTGGCTTTGGTTCTTTCATTAATGACAAAGGACTTGTTGACATTGGCTATCACGACAACCTTTTCACCTGGTCCAATAAACGTCAAGGTCTTGCAAACATCAAGGAAAGATTGGACAGAGGACTAGTCACACTTGACTGGAGAATGTTATTTCCACATTCCGCCATTAGACATATGCCATCTATTTCTTCTGACCATTCCCCCCTCCTCCTGAACACATCTGGAATCCCTAAAACCTTTCACAAACCTTTTAAATTTGAGAAGATGCGGATAAGGGACCCTAGTAGTCACCATGTGGTCAAAGGATCATGGAAGACTAATAGAAGAGGATTAGTAGCATACAAGTTTTGCAAGAAGCTACAAGCTACTAAACAAGCATTAAAGCATTGGAATAGGGAAGTATTTGGAAACTGTATCCATAAGGCAAAGACACTAAGGAGCAGAATTGATTATCTACAACAAGCTGAACCAACTGAAGACAATATAGTGGAGGAGAAAATCTTGCAGCATGATCTTAATGAACATCTCAGAAGGGAGGAGGAGATGTGGAAGCAAAATCAAGAATCCAATGGATGAAAGAAGGAAATGCCCATACCAAATTCTTTCACACCACCACGGTCATCAGAGGTAGATGGAACTCAATCGATTGCTTGAACATGGATCACAGAGAAGGAGTTTATTGGTAACCAATTCCTGTAGTAATTTCAAACACTTTTCACAACATCTAATCCTCACTTTCCCTAGCACTTAGATGACCTCATAGCACCCATAATCACTCCTGAGCAACATCTGGATCTTTGTGTCATACCCTCACCAGAAGAAATTAAAGCAACTCTCTTTGCAATGCCTCCAACCAAAGCCCTTGGTCCCGATGGTATGTCTGCCATATTTTACTAGACATATTGGCATACCATAGGAGGGGATTTATTTGATATGGTCAAGTCCTTCTTTGTTGGAGGACACATGCTGTCTGAAATTGATAGAACCAATATTTGTCTCATTCCCAAATCCACAAAGGCCAACACAGTTAATTAGTATAGGCCAATTAGTCTGTGTAATGTTGTTTATAAGATCATTTCCAAAATCCTTGCCAATAGGATCAGACCTCTGTTAGACCAAATCGTCTCTCCAAACCAAACTGCATTTATTCAAGGTAGAGGTATTTGTAGAGAACACCATTTTGGCTCAAGAAATAGTTCATCAATTCAAAAAGAAAAAAGGGAAAGGTGCTCTAATGATGTTAAAGATTGATATTGCCAAAGCCTTAGATAAAGTTGAATGGTCTTTCCTTCTGCAAGTTCTTAAGCTTCTTGGTTTTCCTGACCAATTTATCAATATGATTAAACAATGTATCTCCATAGCTTCATTCTCAGTCCTGATCAATAGGGGACCCCTCAGAAACTTCCATGCCCAAAGAGGTCTTAGATAGGGAGATCCTCTTTCACCCTCACTGTTTGTCATTTGCACTGAAATTCTTTCTAGATTAATTCACAAGGAAGCATTACTGGGAAATCTCAAAGGCATCAAAATCTCAAGAAGCTGCGAACCTATCAGTCATCTAATTTTTGCAGATGACCTCCTCATTTTTGCAAGAACCACCAAGAAAGATACTGCAACTATCAAAAATTATCTCTCTACATTTGCTCAATGGTCTGGGCAGTAGATAAACTATGAGAAATTCAGAGTGCACTACAGCCCAAACGCCCAGCACTCCCTGATCAGGCCCATCAAACAGATTTTAGGATCAAAAAAGGATCTTTGGAAGCTACTTACCTAGGACTGCCTCTTTTCATAAAGAGGTCCAGAAGATCATTCCAACTAATCTTACAAAAGCTTGAGATGAAGCTGCAGGGTTGGAAATCCAAATTACTCTCCTATGTAGGGAGAACAACTTTAATAGAGTCAACAGCTTTGGCAATGCCAATCTATGCCATGCAATCCTTCCTATTGCCACAACACCTCTGCAGCAATATGGATAGAACAATCAAGAACTTTTGGTGGGGTCATATTGAGGACAAACATACACTAACATTGAAATCTTGGAACTCATTATGCACACCTAAGGAATTTGGAGGCTTAGGTTTCAGAAGAACTTCTGATATGAATAAAGCTTTAATGTCCAAGCTAGGATGACAATTGGTTTCCAACCCAAACAAGCTATGGACCAGTCAGTTGAGCAGGAAATACTGCTCTAGAAGCTCTTTCTTTTACACCAGTAAATAACCACAAGATTCTCAAATCTGGAAACAAATTTTGGAGTGTAGACCAATCATCGAGCAAGGTGCCTGCTATATGATGGGGAATGGTCAATCAATAAATATTTGGACAGAACCTTGGGTTCCTAATCTGCCAACATTCAAAGTCCATCTTCAACAGGAATCAGAGAATCTTCCCAGCCTTGTATCTGAACTAATTGACCAGGACACCAACAGCTGGAACATAACTCTCTTATCCTCATTGTTCAATCAAGAAACCATTCATGTTATACTAAGAATTCATATCCCAACCTTTCAGAGGAAAGACAAGCTATTGTGGATATCGAACAGGAATGGGAATTTTGACTGCAAGTCTGCCTACAAATCTTATAAAGCTGTACAAGATTCACAAAGTCACTACCTAGCAAAAAACGATTGGAAGAGATTATGACAGGCTTTTATTCATGAAAGACACAAAAATATTCATTTGGAGATTAACTACAGAGTGTCTCCCAACTAAAACTTTACTAGCAAGCAGATTTTCTATACCAGACATCCTTTGCCCCATATGCCACCAATATCCAGAAACAACCACGCATCTATTCTTCCTTTGCCATTTGTCTAGGATGGTCTGGTTCACAAGATGGGGGCTTTGCACAAATTCCTTTTCTCACCTCAATCTACATGAATGGATTCAGAACATCCTCCATCCCACCATCCTTTTTGGACCCAATAGGCCTCCTTACTCTGAACTGTTGCTATTCACAGCTGTCTTGACTTATAGTACATAGACTTGGAGGAATAAGATTCTTTATAATAGTCAGCTAGTCATTCCACATCAATTCCTCCAATAAGTTTTGAAGACCTTTGATGAGTTTAGAGAAGTTAAAATCCATCCAAAGGCCCCACCAATCCAAAAACCACCAGAATTTTGGAGATCCTCTCATGAAGGAATTACAAAAGTTAACTTTGATGCAGCTGTGGGGAATAAGAATTCATCTATTGCAGCAATTGCCAGACTTTATGATGGATTAGTTATAGGAACTGAACTCCAGATCGTAACAGAAACAAACCCACTCATAGCTGAAGCTCTAGCTTCAAGGCAAGCTGTGGAATGGGCACATGCCAAGCGATGGTCTTATGTGCTCATAGAAGGAGACTCACAGATTGTAGTTCATTCCATCATGCTCCCTCATGTCAAACCTCATTGGACTGTGCTCTCAATTGTACAAGACATAAAAGTCATTCTTCAGCATCATCCAGAATGGGAATTTGTACACACACGTAGGGATGCAAATGGTGTTGCTCATGAATTAGCAAGATGGGGGCTCGCTATGGGTTATACAGGTCCACTCCAGCCAGACCAACTGCCAAATTCAACAAAGGCTCAAGTGGATTTGGATGCACATCCCCTCCATGCAACATTAGGATGCTTTTAATTATTCTTTGTTATTTTAACTACTCTTAAATCTTATTCTCATTTATAAAAATAAAAAATAAAAAAAATATGTATTTATATGTATTAACAAACACACATGAATCAAATCGTATTAAAGATAAGAAATTTTAAATTAAATGACTCTAAAATGGACATTTATGTCTTTGTAACTTAGTTATGTACTTTTTTTCAAAATATTTTGTTCTATGTACTTTTTGCTAAATAAGTCTAATTAGGTGTACCGACTTCCAAAAAACCCTTATCGTATTGTGTATAATTAGATTCGTATCATATATAAGTCATACGCAATAAATTTGTGTTAACAAAATTATTTACAAGTTTAATAGGTCCATCCACTTACTAGTAAAATCCGTTAAGACTAAATGTCAATCTCATATTGATTGTTTTGTCAAATTCATAGATAATGTCTAGAATTGTCAAGTTTTAAACTTTCAAGATGATGGGCCTTATTGAAACAATAAAATGAAGGATTAAAGTATGACACGATCTATTAATATGAGACAAAATTAGAGAGTTTGAGTTTTCTTTAAGCCAATCGTTTTGTGAATGAGCGGATCTGACATAACATAATTAATAAACAAACTGAGTATGAGTGAAGCTAATATAAATAAATACATGATACAATTTATTTTTATATTAGTTATTTACGATTCATACATGATATGAATTATATATAACGAAATTCATTGTACACGAATTAATACACGAATTAAATATGAGTGAAATATTTTTTGACACAAATTCATTAACACTCGATAGAAACCCGCTTCACTGATCACAATTGACAGA